ATATATATAGTGAAATATTAAGTAAGTACTCTCATACAATTCAAAAAAATTACTAATACAAAAAAATTTCTTAAATCATGAAATATTTGGATTTAAAATTCACACATTCTATGATACAAAAATGAAGCACTCATCTAACCAATAAGAAAGAATTTTTTATTTTTGTAATATTGTGTATAAATATTTATCTTAATTTCGTCTAAATAATAGTAATACTTAAACTGTGAAATAAATGTATAGAAACATAATTTTATTTGAAAATTATTAAATTTATGAATGATTCTTCTGATTTACTAAAAAAAATACAGCACCTAGCGATACAAATATAATGAAGCATAATATGTTTTCATATTAAAATAAAATGCATTTGTAAAGATAGTAAAGAAATACAAAACTTACAAATTGTGTCACTGCTTCATCTGACGTTTTCAGTACTATGTCAAATTCTTTTATGCCTTCTACTGTTTTCATTGGTAAAAACGGTGCGATGAGATCATCATTACTTTCAAGAGGACTTTTTGCACGTCGTTTCATGGCATCTTCTATTTTACCTGAACGTTTGTTAATATTTCTCAATGTAATATTAGATGCTGCTTGCATACGTAACATTTACTCGAAGGTTTCTACAATATGAGCGAGAATGTTTTTTTTAAATTGGACATTCTAAAATTATTCCGCAATCCCTTCCACGAACATTTCATGGCGCACTCATTTGTTAGTATTTTTTTTAAACATCTATGTTTGTTATCCTTGCCATTATTACCACCACTTTTCGATAGAAACTGTTTCTGTGAAGAAAAAAAATTAAGAAATATATTTTACATGAAACCTTCAATGGATTATACCAATAAAATAGTATAGGATTTTTTGAGAAAGATAAAAAAAATTGTTGTAAAACTGTTCATATACCTTACATTTACAAAATGCTAATATAAAAAATAATAATTATAAAAAATAATAATTTACCTTTTATGTTAGTACTTTGCAAGATTTCCGTTGATTGGGGATATCCTAAACAATTATAATAAAATTAATGCTCAGTATATTATACATAATGTTTATTTAAAAAAATTTATGTACCTTCTACTACAATGGGTACATTATTTATATCACTATATTGCTCCTCACATGTTAATACCAAAGGATCATTCTCCGTTTCTGTAAATATATTAACAAGATATTTTAGATAATGTGTGACCAATAAACTGGTTTTGTATAACACAGTGTATGTAGA